AATAGAGGTGACTGAGTCAATGCTGAACGACGAGAACACGGCACTGCTTGACACGCTGTCTGACTGCCTAACGACAGCAGACGCAAAGGTCGGTGGAATTATCAAGATCATTGAGAACGCGACAAACCCCGACAACATTGTGAAGACGCTGGTAGAGAGCCCTCTTGTGTTCAACAGCGCGCTATCACTCAAGATGGCAAGTCAAGACAATGACATTGCTGAACTCGCTCGATTGCATGTGATCAACCGGGTTTTGTGTGCGACAAACCCCGGCGACGACACGACGTTTGTGAAAAAGTGGAAGAAGACCATGGGCTCGGCAGTACCATCGAAGCGCGCAGACATCTTCAAAACTTGCAGCGCATGGTGGACGCACTCCGACGCGATCACAGAGTTGTCACGGGCATCGAAGGCCCTTGGCATATTTGAGATGGCTTTGATGGCGACCGCTCCGCTGCTCTTCAAGAATGGTCACTGTATTCAGTATTTCACGGGTCGACCGGTCGAGTGGACCCCGACGCACCACACGCGCCTTTTGCACCCGAACACGCTGCTCATGCTGTTGCGGTCGGATATAGGCACACATTGCGTGACGCAGTGGTGCGAGGAACAATGGCAGGGTCACCTGCTCGATGATTTGGAAGCTCTACGAGCGCTTAAGGGCTACTATCCTGAAGACACGTCGGTGCTGAAAACCTGCGTTGCTAACGATGGCTCGGTGACGACAGTGCCTTGGCGACTAGTTGCTAAAGGCGTCTCATCTCAGCATGCCTGGAATGGCGTTAGTCTGTTGACTACCAATACTAAAGGTATCAAGAAGAAGGGCCCCCTCTTCATTCAACATCTTCTATCAACGCACTCGGTGTCCAGCATTCAAGAAACCAAGTTCAGTGACGTGCAACACCTCTTGACGTTCAAATTCCATCTCGCCTCGAGCTTCACACACAAGCTCTTTGTCAATGACCCAAACACACTGTTGGATCGACCTACTCGTGGTAGAGGCAGTGGAGTAATGACCGTGCGACGCTCCGACTTCCCGAGTTTCGACTCGGCTGTCGTTGTATCATGGTTGTCTGTTCCCGGACGGTACCTTGTTGTGGAGGGTATGGTCGAACGTGTTGTTGTCTACATTTATAATGTATATGCACCCGTCGATCGCCATGAGAAGCAGCAGTGCTTTGCGCGCTTGGATACTGACGAGCTCGAGGATGACGCGACGCACTTTGCGCTTGGCGACTTGAATACGCCACTAGATCCACGACTCGACTGCTCCACGCCTGACTTGCGCTACGATCCGAATCGATCCAGCTGCCTTGAGTGGTTAGCGAGGCTTGGTGTTGTTGACGCATGTCGCATACATCATGACAAGAAACGCGTGTTCACTGGTCCACTTCCACGAAAGAACCGATTGGACTACGTACTGATGTCTGAAACATTCTGCAACTGCTACTACGGCTCGTCCAGATACTTCTTATCGAGACATGCTGGAGACCACCTTGTGCACAGTGTGACATTCAGATACACAGCTCCATGGTCGCGGATACTGGAAGTTCCCCAAATACTTGCTCGACTATCCGAAGGTTGTCTCAGCAATCGAGATGGAAGCTGAGATGGTGCGTGACAGACTCCGACTCGCTGATAATCCAGGCAAGGTCTGGGAAGCGTGGAAAGTGAACATTAAAAAACAATTACAAGATGTGCAGTAGAAGCTCCGCACTCAAGATATACAAGCCGTCGAAGGTCCCCGAATCGCGCTAGATCAAGCTGCTGCTCGCCATCGTGTTTCATCGGATGAAGACGACCGCGAGCACTACGACGAAGCCATGCGTCACTACAAGGAGACAGTCTTGCGAACAAGCCAGTATCATCAAGATAATGCGTTTGACTTCCAAACAATCAACTCTGAGCGTTCGACGTCACACTTCTTCCGTCCCCTGGATACGAGCCTATGCAAGATCTCGATTGAAGAAGTTGAGACACCAGATGGGAGTGTCTCGACGAACCCACACGAGATCTTGCTCCGCTTACTGGAGTACGGGGGATCAGAGATGGGTGACCCGGACAGTCCGTCAGGAAGAGCTCCACCACCAGACAAAGGCATGCAACGTAAGCTTCTGAACTCGATCACGCGCTTAGTCTCAGAATCCGATCGGTTGTTGCTCGACGCAGACTTGACTGCCGCTGACCGTGCAGGCGCGATCCGGCACATGAAGACATCGTCAGCACAAGGCATGGACGGCTTGACCGCTGGGTTCTATCAAGTGGCTCTAGACGTCTTTGGCGAGTACCTCGCGATTGTCTAAAGCGACCGGCTACATCGTGGTGAGCTGCTCGCGTCCCAGCGCAAGTTGGCTGTCGTGCTGCTGCATAAAAAAAAG